TCATCAGGCGGGGAAAACCCTGTGTGGTTCGCCATGGTTCCCACCCAACTGCAGGTGCAGTTATTTTCGCGCTACACGAAGAGTCCAGACCACTCCAGCGCCTTGTGGCAGCTGTTGCGTGGTGAAGAACGAGTGCACTGAAAGAAAATTGGATGCATGACCTAAAGTTCAACTAGAATGACTTGAAAGTACTGAGATTGAAGTTTCACTGCACTCAACCTAACTAATGGTCCTACGAACGAAAAGTGACCGCGCAAAGCAGCGGTTACTGGCATGTAGGGCCCTATCGAGCTTTGGGTCGGCGGCGGCCTCCTCCTCGAGGGTTGGGTTCGCCTGAAAATTGATCGGACGCCAAAGGTCGAGGATGATGCGCAAGCTTCCAGTTATGAATCCCGGAAGAGCGGATCATATTAGCTAAGTCTAGCAGTACCGAATGGGGTTGGTTAAGGCGCGTAGCGTCGCAGAGATAGCCGTAGCAGCCGGTGCGGCGTACCTCACTGATGATGTCAGAATCGTCGTCGACGTACGCGCAAATCCCCAATCGGGTGACAATTGGGGTCTTGCCTTCCGGGCCAGTTCGGGAGTTGGTAAGAAAGATCCCCCCTCCCATCTGGAGTCCAGCTGCGCGAACGCAGTCACGAAAGTGCGCGGTTTGTGAGGCCGCTCTTGCATAACCTTCATGTCCCGTGAAGGATATGATGGTTATTCTTGCGCCGAGGCGCTCGAGATTGGCAAGAGCATCAACACACTGTCGTGTGGGGACTTCAAGCTTATACACCAACATTGCATCTAGAACCTTATGGAAATCTAGACCAACCTCGATGTTATGAGCTTGACCGGGTAAGGTTAGGGTCATAGGGTCACACATTTGTTGACCGAAGACGTGATTCGCTTCTTGCCACAGTTCGAGGTAACGATTGCGAGGGAGTGGCATATCGTCGTCCTGCTGTGGCGGGTTTGGAGGCGGAGGGTCCCCATAAGTTGGCGGCGCTAAGGTACCGCCACTTGGTTCAGCCTCTGCAGGATCCTCCTCCGCGCGGGGCGCAGTTCCAGAGGGTGCAGGAGGTGGTGGGTACCCCTGACCTCTACCTCTGCCGGTTGCATCCTGAGCGACTGTTGCGGGAGCAGGGCTCGAAGACCGCGGCGGTCGCTCAGGCATCGGCTTGGGTTTCGGCACCTGAGCCGTGGGCGGCGGTGGCGGAGGTTTTGGTGGCCCAGGAGGAGGTGTTGTGAAGAATCCGTGAGGAAAGAATTCTTCCACCCGCCCTGACTCAACATATTGTGGTTTACGTTGAGAAGGGTCCTCCCTAATGCATTGTGGCGGGGGCTTGACCACCATGGGCTTTGGTGGCGGTGTCCTAGACCTTGAAGATCCGGATGGGGCTGCCCCGGAATCAGTTGGCTCATCGTCCAGGTCGTTATCGAGCGATTGATCAGCCCAATTACGATTAGGGGTACGATGAGTTGGGTCCACTACTAGTGGCGTTACGGTTACCGACGTCCTTGATGGAGACTGGGCCGGAGGTTCACCCGAGCGATGCTCGGTTACTACCCTTTGGGCGACCAGAGGGACGGTACCCCGTGTATGCTCCGCAAATGATGGCTCCGCGCTGGGCGCGGTTGCTTCCGGAGCGCCAGGACCTGGCCTTAGCACAACTCGTGACGTAGTGGCAAACACGACACGAGTGCGCTTGGGAGGAGGAGGATTCGCTGGTGCACGCGGCTTTGGCGCCGGTGCTTCAGGGGTTTCCTCGGCCTCCAGGGCATGTGTTGGTGCTCGCCGCCAAGGGGCGGTTGCTCGAGGTTTGGCCGCTGGGCGGGGTGGACTTTCGTCGTCGCCCACGTCCATGGCGTGTACCTCAGTGTTCGGATGCACCAAAAGTTCGGACTGGGGCACTGTCAGACCGCCTGACTCCCTCGTGGGGCGAGTTCGCCATACGTGATCAGGCAAGTCGTACACAGTGTCACGAGCTGTGTCCATCGGAATAGGCTGCGCCGGCGGTTCGCGGGCAGCATGTTGGAGCCTGACGAACCCGCGCTGACGCGGTTGCGGTGCCCCCTTCGGCTGATTAGGCTCCGGTTGCGGAGCGTCGGCTTTAGGAGGCTGCGCAGGCACGGGTAGGCTCCGGGTGCTTGCTTTAGGTGGAGGTGGCCTTCGAAGCTTAACATGCGGTGGTAAGTTCTGAGGCCTATGAGGAGTATTCAGATACTCGGGGTCTAAGGGTGGTGGATTAGGGGGAGTTGCAGTTGCAAGTGCACGACCAAATCGACCGGACCTTACGGCTCGGGTTATGGTGTTAGCTGCACGAGTGCGAACCGACTCCAAATCGTCACCTTCAACTTCGACCACTGGATCTGGCTCGAAAGCTTCCTCTTCCTCCCGCGCAAGCGCGGTTCCACCCTGACCATCTAGTTGAGCTATCCCTTCCTCCCTCGCTCCCTCCGGGTAATCTTGATCAGCCTCCGCTTCCGGACTGGGCTCCGCCTGCACCTCATCAACTGGTTCACCCATGGGATCGTCGGTTGATTCGGTGTTGTCGTTGAGGTGGACCGTACGCACTGGCTGGTTCGTGTCCGCGAGAGACTCAGCGGTTTCACGATTAGGCCTCGGGCACGGCCTTATCGGACGGGGCGGTCGGTCCGGTTCTGAAGGCCTGGTCTGTGATCTAGACCTCGAAGTAGCTTGGGGAGTCTGCGAACGCTGCTGTACCGGATGATCGATTGGTCGCAACTGAGGTCGCCAGCCTGTGGATGAACCAGCAGCACTCGAACCGATGATTGGTTGGAATGTGCGCGCAGGGACGGTGACCGGGAACGACTGTTGGGTGGATGCTGCGGCTTGAGACGATGATGCAGCTGCGGCTGAACGGACCTGTCGGAGTGGTATGAACTTGTAGGTCTTTTGGTAATAACCTGGGGGAAACCGGTACATAGGTTGATTAACCCCTTGTACTATATCCGGCATGTGGCGAGAACACCATGCCCAAAATTCTGGGAGGATGGCTGCCCATGCTCTGAGAGCCCCGTCAGAGATGTTACCCTCATTGGGGGTCTCAGCCCAGGCGTCCGCGTGATGGACGACGTACTTGTACCACTCAGGGTAGTCCTTCCGCGCTGACAGCGGTTTCACAAATGGTAATTGGTAGGTCTTGCCTACTCGGCGATAAGTATGCGAGGCCAAGTGACTTGAGATGAGGTCACATGTCATTGCATACTTCTTGTCGGATTGTTCAAATTGATGCTTCTGGCCTCCTCTCGCTCCGCGCGTACGCTTGGGTTGAGGGTCAACGGCCGCTGAAGCAGTTTGTGATGTCTCCGCGCTAGGCGCGGTTTCGTCGTCAGCCTCGTCCCCTACCTGCTGCTCTTCTTTGGTGGTGGGTTCCGCCTGATCGTCGAGATCGTCACCAGGCTCCTCGCCTCCAAAGTCAACCTCAGCTTCATCAAAGACCGGATCAGTGGCCAATGATTCGAACTGCGTCGGATGATTATGAGTATGCAGTGGGGGTAGGCCCACGGGAGAGGTTGAGGGATCGGCATACACTTCCTCCTCTACTTCTTCCTTAGTGGTGGGCTCTATCTTAGGTGGGCCAAACAACGAAAAGACATCAAAGGGCGGCTCGTCGGCGTTAGCATGGCCTAACGAGTCGTCCTGAGCTTCCAAGACCTCTCCGCGCGAAGCAGCGGTTCCGGTCTGGAGCTCTGCTTCGGCTTTAGGGGCTTGGGTATTAGGTTCAGGCTCTTGTCGAACTAACGACTCAAGCGTGTTGGTCTCGACTGGAAGGACCTCGGTGGCTGGCGAATCAACAGGCGCAACTTCATCAGCCTCCTCCGCACCGGCGGTTTCGGAGCCGGGTGGAGTATAAGTGGGTTGAGATGAGGAGACACCCGTTTTGACACGGGGAACAAGAGGAGGCTCGGCTGAACCTTCCTCGAGTTCTTGGCCCGTGGCTTCCGCGCTAGGCGCGGTTCCAGCCACGTCCCCAAGGGAGGCTGCGGCCTCTTGGTCTTGGGGACCTTCGGACGTCGCGGCTGCGGCGGCAGCTGTGCTGGACGAAGCGACGTCCGGATCCTGCGGCGCAGGATTGATCCTGCCCATCCCAGGGCGTTGAAGCAGCGTGAAGCGTGCTGCAATGGGATCAAGGGGCCTTTCCGTATCTTGCGCGATACGGCTGATAACCAATTGAATCCACAAATTATTGGGAAGATAAGGGATGGCCCAACTTATTCTATCAACCGGGAGGAAGTAGAAGTGGTATGCCAAATCCCTAGCGGCACGATCGACCGGAACGAGTACCCGACGGTTGGAGGGTCGAGTCCCCGTGGCGAAAGTGCAGGTTGCCGGACGAACGAAGGCACGACGGCGAACGAACGAACGGAGGGGCAACGAAGTGCGAAAGAGTGCGGAAGCGAAAAGCGACGAAGGGGAAAACCGTCCACAGGACAGTTAAACCCGGCACCCTGCAAGGAAACGGACGGGCGTCCTTTTCCTTGAGCCAAAGAGCGACGGTTGTCACATGTGTTGTACACGTGATGTGTGAACCGTAGCTAGATAGGTGAACATGTAATGAATGCTGTTACATACTAGGGGTTCACAGAAAATGACTATTGAATGCCAATTTAAACTTCCGCTGAGGACCTACTGCAGCCTTGGGGTGTTGTGAATTTGTTGCCTCTCTAGTTCTGCTCTTGTGTTTGCACACTTCTAAAGAAATGCTGCTTGCCTGCATCCCCACCGGCCCCTCTTTAGGGAGGTAGGCTGCTGATGAGGGGCCGTAGTAGGGAAGCTGAGCAGTTAAAGGAAACTACTAATTGAAGACAAGCTGCTACATGTTAGGACACAAGAACCCTTGCACCCACAAAAACAGGAAGGGCAGAAGTCATTCAAAAACATGGAGGAAGAAAAGGTCCTAGTAGCTTCCTTGTTCCTAGTAGTAAGGCCAGGAGCCCCTAGTAGCGTCCTTGCTCCTACCCCCCTCGCCGGTATCGCTTTGCCAGGTGGCAGCGCAGGAGCTGCTGCCGCGAGAGCCGGACATCGGGACTGCGAAGCTGCTGCGCTAGGCGCTGCGTGGCTTGCTCCTGGCAGATACTAGTAATGCCCTTGTTACTAGTAGCGATGGCCTCCAACCAGTAATACCCGTGGAGAACTGAACTTCTTCGAATGTCGTTCCAGCAAATCAGTGTACCTAAAGGATGCCAAAAAGAAAATAGTTCAACCAAGCATTAAAAGAAAGGAAGCGCACTTAAATGGCATGGGTCTCCCATTGTCTGCCTTGCTCAATGCAATTAATCCCTTGTCTTCAAAATCCCTCTCAGTTGACTAAAAAATCAAGGCCGATCTGGATATTAAGACACGAAAACCTGAAATTCAAGCCAGCTGTAGCTGTGGCTCCAGCTCAGCACTTTGTGGTTCTTGCACCAGCTGGGCCAATGAGGTCAAAGAGAGGTCGATGAAGGGATCGGAGGCCTCGAAGGTCCTCAAAGGCTACTGCACGGTTCAAGGTGGTTCCAAAGGGCTGAGCGTGTGCTCAAGGTTCTGAACACACTTCCCATCGCACAACACCGCAAAGCAAGCAGCGATCATGAATAAAGAAATTCAATGAAAAGGGCAAAGGAACATGTATACAGCCTGGAAGGCTCCGCTGGAGCAGCGCGCTCCATTGGTCTCCAATCATTCCACTGACCTTCACCGCGACCTGTGGTTGCTCTGATGATTTTGGTCTCAAAATCCCAGGAACGTGCTATCAAAGCCAAAAGGGCCTCGCCTCTCCAATCTGTCCATTCTGACTTTGCATCCTGACCCCTGAGATCTGCAAAGTACTCCCACTGTCTGCCTGCACGGTGGCACCAATTCCACGATTCAAACACCTACACGCACTTCAATGGGCTTATCTGAAGTACAAAAGCAAAGGTATCAGAAGTAAGCTCATGTGCAGGAGATTGCAGGATAATCTGTGCAGAAACAACACTGAGTGAGGCCACATTGGTAGGTTCGAGTTTGCAAAGGTTGGGGCAAAGGCCTGAAAGTTGGGACCAACTGCGACTCGAGTCCTGCCAAAAGGCAACGGCCTTGCTAATAGAAGTTCTTCAAGGCAACCGGAACAAAGATTATCCAAAGATCCAAAGAGACAAAATGATTTAGTTGTCCCTGAGCTTTGCACCCAGGATGACGGCCATTCCCTGGTCACAAATGCCAGGAATGCTAGTGTCATCAAGAGGACATGATATTCATCGCAAATATGGACTGCACATGACTGCACAAAACGTTCACCAGATTGAACCAGGTGCATCTGTGGCAAGTCTGCAAACAAGAACTTAAGGGAACAGAAGACAAAATGCGGTGAGTTTAGGACAATGAGAGATCTGGTACTCCTTGTACTGGAGACCACGCCATTGCACTGAGCCCTTGTGGGAGAATTAAAGGTGAGGTCCCTTCTATAGTGCACGAGCTCCTTCGAATTAGCCTCCGGTGCGGCAGCTGTGGAGCCACCAGCAAGGCGACGTGCTATTCTATGGAAAGCGATGGCATGAACTGACTTTACTCTTGTAACAGCGGCATGTGAAAGTGCACAGTGTAACCCAAAGGGCGACCTTTGTGACTTTGTGTAAGTGTAAGACATAAATCGGGTTCATCTACAGGAACAGGAGGAACAAATGGCGAACGAAGCCACATGAATCAGAACTTTGCCAGGAACGAGGACGAGGAGGGAAGAAGGAGCAGCAGGAGGAGAAGGAGGAGGGAAACTCAGGAGTTCAGCAGGTAAAGATGCGAGACGACGGATGGCCGTATCCATGGTTGAAGCAAATGCAATCTGGTTGCTATTAAATATATGAATGAAATTCTTAATATAATCTACAGTATATGCATTTGCCTGGGTCGGCTCCAAGAATCCCAGCTTGACCAGCCTGAAGAGTTGTGACATTTGGAAGGTGCTGAAGGTGCGAAAAGGAGAACCTCTCACTTTTGAACAATTTGTAAATAGATTGTTTGAAGAAACAACCAGTACGAAAAAGGGGAGGTAAAGCCCCGTATTAAGGAGCCTTACCTTCCTTTGTTTCCATCTCTTTGTTCCTCTTCTAAGTAGTTTATAATGCGGCATGCACTCGCCCCGCCAGCATCGCCAGGACATCCATCAGGCCTCAGCTCTTGAAAAGGCAGCAATTTGCACTTTCAATTGGACGTCCATGGCCTCGCCCAGCTTTTGGGTGAAGCTACAGGCACTTCAATAAATTTCCTCAACCACTGTCAACACTGTTTTTTAGAACCTCAGGTTTGGGGACACAACTTAAACAAGTGTGTATGTGTTTTGCTTCTTGATAATGTCATGCTGAACAATATCATTCACAGAAAGCAAAATCACCTGCCCCTGCCCCTCAACAAATGAGAGCATTGTCTCCTCGCAGCGGCCAGGGCTGCTCCCATCCAAACACGCCGGCGTGGCTCGTGCCTACAGAAAAAAATGGCATGTCAAACAAAGGGCTTCGACAACCTTGATACAAGTGCAATGCGCGGATCATGCATATCTTCAAAGCAAATGGCACAAACAACTAGTATTTGTACAAGGCAGAAATGTCAAACCTCCCCTCCGATGTTGATGACATAGCAGCTGACCATCCTGCCTTTGACAAAGGGCTCTCGAGGCTGGGGTGGAGTCCAGATTTAGCTGATTGGTTGCCGTCACAAATCTAACAATAAATAGCTCTAAAACATGTGTTTCCAGCACGAGGGTCACGCAGGTGTTGCAATGTGCAATCGCCTGTGGTTCTTGGGGTTCCTCGCTCCAGCTCCATTGCTCCATGGTTACAAGGGTGGAGCCATTGATTAGGAAATGGCCAAAGCAGTAGTCTTTTCTAAAGCACCGTCATGTTTTTCTGTCAAAGTGTTACGGGACATGCGGAGCTGAAAAGAGGAAGTTCCAACAGGCTGTGGTGGGTCGAGTTCTCATTTATGCTTTAGCTGTGTGGATCGATTCGCTGAGGGTAGTCGAATGACCGCATGCAGTGCGCAAATCCTTGGGCTGAAATGGCTGTCTGATTTAATCTTTCCAAATGAAGGAATCATTCGCGACCATTGGCATGTTTCTGCCAGAGGAGTTTGGAATGCTTTCAAGTGATAGCATTGGCCATAGTTTGGCATCAAACTGGAAAATCTGGACACGACCAATGAGCGCTGCTTACGTTAGCGAGTGAGGCTCGAACTTGCACGGCCAATTCACGCGTTGGAAGCAAAACCAATGCTGGCATGGAAATCAGTCGTCTGAAAGCTTGTTTTCGCTCAATGAGGAAAGTCAGGAATTGCCACCAGCATATGTCTTCCAAGAAACTTGTTGGGTCGATTTAATTTGACCTTTGCAACTAGCCAAAATATAAATGTGAATAGGTCACCAGTACAGGGGGGTGGTCTAGCCCTATGCAAACACAGCGTTTGCATCCAAGCATGTTTTAAACCGTTTTCTGATTTTATGTGCAACGCGCCAGTCAAAGATGTGTGTATGAAAAAGAGATTCAATTGAAAAGCGAGTCCCAGAACGAAGGTCCGCTGGTACTTGCCTCTGGGCCCAGACTCGCAAAGTGAAGACCTCCAGTTACAGTGAAAGATTCGGAATGGAGGTCTTTATAACTGTTTGCTCCGGGGGATGCCCTATTCTGGCCCCAGAATCAGAACTTCTCAGTTCGTTGATTACGCTTGTTTGGGCTAGAAACTGTGTGCGAGGCATAAGACAATGATCCCTTCCAAACGTGTCAACACTTCAGGCATGTCCTTGCAGTTGTCCCTCCAATGATGAATGAAGTCTCGGTCGCATGATAGCTGCTGCTCAATTGCATCCTAGCCAATCCTAGAGGTCTTTGCGCTAAGAAGATAATGTCCAGCTTTCGTAGAATCTTGAGATGCTAGCCGTGCCAAGCAGAAATAGTGCCGATAAGTTCAACAAGACTTTAGAGCAGTCAAAGTAAAGATGGAATATACAGTATAATATACAGTATTATATTTATACATACAAATACTTGGCTTCGGCCGTCACACAATGTCTTTGCAAGCAACTCCCTTGAGGAGACGGTGTCCTGACTGATCCTGACTGGAAGTTTGGTATGTCAAGTCTTGCCTCAACCCACAACGGTACAACGGTGGTGAATTTGGAATGGAAAGGAAATTAAGGGTCGTGACGGGGCCCCGTGCCTCCTCCCATGATTTGTAGGAATAGACTTTAACATCTTTAACCAAACCATGCTCTATCCAAAAGGGAACTAGAAGTATGTACGGCCAGGAGCCCCTAGTAGCGTCCTTGCTCCTAGTAGCGATGCCCTTTGCTCCCAGT